TGCCTGGATATTAAGTTTTCAATGACTAAAATACAGTGTTCATTTCCTCATTGATAAATATTCTGCTCCACAGAGTAATTGTAAGACTAACACTCCTGACACCTCGCCCACTCCTAGGTCATAAAAGTCAACAAAGCTCTCCTCATTTTGATTGGGGAAATGTCCTATAAATATGTTTATTTTTCCTGAATTGCCCTATTGTGTAAAAAGGATTACTCACCACTGATTTAGCCAGTTTGAATATAGGAGCTCTCAGAGGGTGAGAGAGACCCAGGTACCCAGGTTGTTAAAAATAAAAAAATAGGTAGGCATGGTGGTGTGCACCTGTAGTCCCAGCTACTCAGGAGGATCATTGGAGCCCAGGAGTCTGAGGTTGCAGTGGGCTATGATAATGCCACTGCCTTCTAGCCTGTAAGAGCAAGAATCTGTCTCAAAAAAAAAAAAAAAAAAAAATACGAGGCAGGATTACATTTATGGCATATTGTAGAAATGCTTACACAACAAATTCACATTTTTCTCACATGCACACAAACTGTAATGTAAAATAATTACAATCACAAGAGAATCATAGGATATTTTTTAAATATTAATTCGGAATGCCCCGTGGATGGCATGGTCCAGGCAGACTACGCATTTGATGCTTTGTGATGAAAGCCTTGGATCACCGTCCATACAGTCTAGAGCAGAGATAATGTCAAAGTCTCACTTGACGCCTTCATGAATGGGAAATCCAAGTGAGTGGGAAACCCAAGCGAGATCAGTTCCCACCGTCACCCGGCCCCATTCCCAAGCCCTCCCTAAGAGAAGGACAATAAAAGGTTGAGCCCAGTGTTAAAGAAATAACAGCAAAGCCCCAGTTGGGAAATCATGATAGAGAAGAAATGAGGTACACAGAGATGGGAAAACCGTGGGTGAAAACCCTAGACCATGCCTGCCAGCACAGCCCACTGGCCACGTAGGACCTTCATGACATCTACAGGTCAAGTAGGGGAGGTCAGGTAAGGTCACGAGAAGCAGGAGCAACCAGCTGCCAATGAGTTAGTCCTACCCAGGCCCGCAGATGCTACATTCATGTCTTGGCCTCTCCATAGGCACAGGCGTGGCCCTGAATACCCGTGAATCTTCTAATATGTGCTACCTTCTCCCGGGTTCTATTTCCTATGAGTCAATTAGATGTTTTTAAAGAGTCAGAAATGGTGCCCATTGCAGCCCAGCTACTTTCCAGAGACCTGGGGGAAAGTTCCTCAGACCCCCAAAAAACAAGACAGGACAGAAAGCTGGTAGAAAACCATTTCCAGTGTTTCTTTCTTTTTCTGCTAAAATCTACACACCGTGTGCGTTACCAAGGAAAGTTAGGCAGGTTCTTGTTCTGAAAGCAAGAAAGGTTCTCTTTCCACATGACACCTGCAGAAGATGGAAAATGTGATACCCTCTGCACATCACGGGACACCTGGCTCCCTGTAAGAGGACACCCCAAGTCCTGCCAGCGTCCCCACCCCCACCCCCAGTGGAGGCAGCTTTCTGTTTTTCTTGTCTTACTGACGGGGCCCTAGAAACACCACTAGGACTTTCCCAAAAGTAAAGTTCTCCCCAGGCCCCGTGAGTCCTCACTACGTAGCACCCCTTTTTTAGCTCAGTAGCAGAGTTTTTAAATAATTTCTAGACGGCCTGGCACGGTGGCTTATACCTGTAATCCTAGCACTCTAGGAAGCTGAGGAGAGTGGACAGCCTCAGCTCAGGAGTTCAAGACCAGCCGGAGCGATAGTGAGATCCCTGTCTCTACAAATAGAAAAACTAGCGGGGTGTCATGGCAGGCACCTATAGTCCTAACTACTTGGGAGGCTGAGACAAGAGGATCACTTGAGCCCAAGAGTTTTAGGTTGCTGCGAGTGTGACGTTATAGCACTTGACACCAGTGGACTGAGACTGTTGTCTCAAACAATTTCAAGGCTGTGGGCAGTGGCTCACGCCTGTAATCCCAGCGCTTGGGAGGCCGAGGCAGGTGGATCACCTGAGCTCAGGAGTTCAAGACCAGCCTGAGCAAGAGTGAGACCCTGTCTCTAAAAAATTGCCGGGCCTTGCGGCAGGTGCTTGTAGTCCCAGCTGTTCAGGAGGCTGAAGCAAGAAAATCGCTTAAGCTCAAGAGTTTGAGGTTGCTGTTAGCTGTGATGCCACAGCACTCTACCCAGGGCGACAAAGTGAGACTCTGACTCAAAAAAAAAAAGTTTTTTAGAGCTCTTTATCCAGAAATACACCCAAGAAGAGGGCCTCTTACCTTTCCCACAAAAGTCCATAAACCGTGGACTGAATTCACTGATTACTACTCAGACTACAGAAAACTGAGCAGGACCTTGAAACATAGCCTCTAAATTCTTCCCTTAGCTCCAGCTCAAGCAAACACAAATTGATTCTGTTTTTGCAAAACACCAGTCCCTTCAGATGGCCTAGGTTATCTGCGTTAACATCTCTCAACACTAAGAGGAGCCAAGGTTCAACCCCACTGTTGCCTCCATGGAGACAAGGCCTGTGGGAAGCAATGAGGCTGAGGGAGGTGGTGACTCCATGAGTGATGCTCTAGATATCCTTGACTCGGTTGACTTTCTTGTCCTATCTTTGTCACTCCCCAAGAATAATAGTTCACATTTACTGGGCATCTACACTGGGCCAGATCTGTCCCAAGAGCTTCATGTGGATTAACTCATTTAATCTTCATTTCTACCCTGTGGGACAGACACCAGGGGTAAGTGACTGAGCTGAGATTTGAACCCAGAAGTCTGATTCCAAAGCCCAAGCTTCCATGAGGGCCACAACATATTCTTCTACTTAAGGATTTAGTGGGTGCTCTTGAGAGAAGCATTAACGTAACTACTATGAATGTTGAGGAACTCCTCTACCTCCCTGAAGCACCATCTGCTATGCCTCACTATTCATTCTCCTTTCTTCCTTTTTAAGATAACCCCTGCCCCTGGGTTTCACCTGAGCCACATGGCCATCCACTCTAAACTACATTTTCTAGCATTCCTTGCGGCTAGATGTGGCCATGTGACTCTAATGGAATGGAGTGGAGGCCCCGGGATAACAAACTGCTTGCCTTGGATTTTTTCTTTTTTTTTTTTCTCTTTGAGACAGTGTCTCACTCTGTTGGCCTGGGTAGACTGCCATAATGTCATAGCTCACAGCTCAAACTCTCAGAATTGAGTAATCCTCTTGCCTCAGCCTTCCCAGTAGCTAGGACTACAGGCATGTACCACCATGCCTGGCTAGTTTTTCTATTTTTAGTAGAGACAGGGTCTTATTCTTGCTCAGGCTTGTTTTGAACTAGTGAGCTCAAGGGATCCACCCTCCTCAGCCTCCCAAAGTGCAAGGATTACAGGTGAGGGCCACCACGCCCAGCTTGCCTTGGATTTTCTCACCTACTTCCCACATCCTGAAACACAGACTTCAGGATACAAAGGAGAAAAAAAAACCTGGGCCCATGAATGATTTCATGGACCTAAACTGCCAGCCTGGAGTGTTCACTCTAGGGTTTATTTAAGAGATAAATAAACCTCTGTTTTACTTAGCCATTCTATTTAGGGATCTCTTTGTGACAACAGCTCAGCCTATATGCTAGAATCAATGCCCAGAGCCCCACACCTTGTCTTAGTCTGCTCAACATCACCAAAGCCCTTTCTTAGTGCTTGGAACATAGTAGTTTCGCAGTTAATATTTCTTTAATCAATGATAATGCCATTATATAAAGCAGGTGGCACCAGGGCCAAACACACTGATTTACCCAAGCAGTGTAAATGACCCTTATCTGGAAGAGTACAATGTCTTCTGCTTTCCTGGAAAACAGGAGCTCAGGCCAGACAGTGTATGTTTAGGAATGTGTTTGCAATAGGGAGGCATAAATATTTACTGCGTCTGTTCTCAGTTCTCTGCTGGGACAATGGATTTTATACTTAACTGCAAGTTAGTTGAGGTTACCTTGTGTCTCAGCAATAATGAGTTTAATCTGAACACTTACTAAGTGTCAGGTTCTGTACTAAGCACTTCACATACATTATGGTATTCATCTTTATTTAATCCTCACAATAACCCTATAAAGTAGGAACTATTATTATCCCCAAGTGAGAAAACCAGGTCCCCTGAAAGAGATAAGTAACTTGCCCCAGCATGTGGCTTGTGACAAGTAACAAAGGTAAAATTCAAACCCAAGTTGTTTGAGCCAGATCTATTCTTTTTCTTTTATTTTTGAGATGTGGTCTGACTGTCACCTAGGCCAGCGTACAGTGGAACGATCACAGCCTACTGCAAACTCCAACTCCTGGAATCAAGTGATCCTCCTGGCTCAGCCTCCTGAATAACTAGGACTACAGATTCATGATACCATGTTGGCCAATTTTTACATTTTTTTTTTTTTTTTTTGGTACAGACAGAATCTCACTATGTTGTCCAGACTGGTGTGAAACAATCCTCCTGCCTTGGCCTCCCAGTATTCTGGGATTACAGATGTGAGCCACTATACTCAACCTTAAACTTATTATCTTTTTAAGCACTGTTCTATTCTGTCTGTCTCTGTGTGTGATAGGCTTATATTCCCAACAAATTTCAAGGGCTAGACCAAGCTTTGTGCTTATCTCAACAGATGCCTAGTGCACAGAGCTTCCACTGGTGGCTGTGCCTTCTCCTCTGTGTGTGGTTGGTGAAGGGTACACAAGCCTACCAGGCAACATGAAGGCAGAAGGTGAATAGCCTCAGCCCCAGAGTCCACAGCAATTCTCTCTTGCCCTCTTCTGTTCCCTGGGTCCCTTGCTTCCTCCCTGAACTCTGAATCCTTCCTGCCCACCCTCCTGCTGCCCACACTTTATCCCCAGCTGCCCTTTTCTCAGTTTGCCTTCCTGCCTTCCTCCATGCACAATTCCTGCCAGGCCCTGCAGCTCTTCCGGCGAGAGCCAGCAGGGTCCCAACCTGCCTGTCTGGTGTGGTGAGGGTGTGGTCCAAGTTTCATCTCTCACCTTCGCCCCAACTTCAACTTCATCCTTGCAGACATTCTCCATTCACAATCACTCCTTCTTCCTCATACCCTTAACTCAGCAAAACAGAGTCAGCAGCAGGAAGAAAGGGGTTTATCCCTGAGGTCACAAACCTAGGGCTAAAGGTCAAACATGGACCAATGGGTATGTTTTCTTTGGTCTGTATGATGCTTTGGAAAACTGACTTAGCTACATTTAAAGTCATTGGAGTTCATGTACAAATTCAGATTTCAAATCTCTATTGAAAAATCAGGAGCCCTGACAACACTGGGCTCACCTTCCACAGTGGCCAGTGGCTGGAGTTGAATGTGGACATCCCCCAGAATGGGTGGGGACTTCCCCGTTTACCACAGTGCTCTCTACTTCCTATTCTACTACTCCTATTCAGACACTCTACGGCTCATATACGTGCCCACCCAGCCCCTGTGGGCATGTGGGTCTGCACCTGCTGCCATGTCTCTGTTCAGCTAATGAGCAAATTGAGAAAGGGAGAAATCTGTCCTCCAGGTCTCCGAGTTGAGTTCATCAGCAGATCCATAGCTGGCTGTCATTAGACAATATCAAGTCCCTAGATGTCCCAGGCTCCAGGGGTTTAAATCCAGGTCCCTTGGCCTGCCTTTAGTCCAGTTACTATACTCATCGCATGGCTACTCCACCAAAGCCATGGGCATGCCAAAGAGAGACGCTCCACCTTTTTCAACACATAGGTTGCAAATAGCTCTTTTATTGCATGCCATGATGAGCTAATTCTCCTCTCCTCACCTAAGATTAACTCTTCTCAAATCTGCTGCTCAGATTATACACCCTGAACCTGCTGAAGGGGACCTTTTTATAAGGCTAATCCCCCCCGACCTGAATCCTGGTGATAAGTGTGTGCATCAACATGTGTGTTTACACATGCACTCACTCACACATGACCACACGTGTGCTTCTCGATTAACCTCTTTTTCCTCATTAACTTCCCAGACAGGTAAGAAGTCAACCTTTGCCCTGGTTAGTGAGCCAGAAACTGTCCATCCACTGCCCCATCTAAGGGGTCAGCAACTGTTGCTGGTGGTTGCCAGATCTTCAGATTTTTCAACAAGTCAGGAATGCAGTTTAGAAGAGGGGAACAAGGGTCTTTATTAAAATCTGTGCTGAGAGGCAAGGCCTCCCCCCCTCCCCAAGTGCTTGATCCTTGGACTTTCACAAGGATCAGGCGCTAAAGAACAACAGGAAACAAAGGCTCCTCTTTGAAGCCCACCCACTTCGTATGGTCAGCACCATATCCTCAATCCCTCATCATGCCCATCCCAGAGGAAGAGGACCCAGCAGACTGGGCTGGCTCTGCCCTCCAGTCCTGCTCTCGGCCATGACAAGCCAACAAGACTGCCTTTGACTAATTTTGATTTCTTTTTTTCAAACCTTGTCTGGTTTGTCCTCAAAACAAACCTCTTTTTTTTTTTCCTTTTTCTTATCCAACTTCTCTGTAGAGCCCTCAGGTTCTTAACCCAGAAGGCATTATCTGAATCTTTCCCATAAGTAGGTTGCAGTTTCTATTTCTTTGACTAAACAACTCTAACAAAGAATTCATTGAGATGAAAACGCTTATCATGAAGCAGGTAACATCCTTTTCCTTCCCAAACCACACACAATTAACATATAAATGGCCTGGCAATGGGGACTTCTCTGAGAGGTGGCAGATTATAACTACTCTCACTTCTACACATATAAAGCTTTAAAAACAAGAGACAGAAAAGAACAATTTCCAAACCAGAAAATGGCACAGATGGCCACAAACTAACTTCCCAAGGGAATGAGCATTTTTGATGCAAATACTCCTTCTCCATGTGGAAGAATGTGCAAGGTACAAAATGTCCACTTGAGGATCTGTCCCTCCCTATTGGGGTGATCACCCCTTGACCACAGTAATGAGCTGGCGACCGATATGCCCAGAAAGGCAGCCAATGGGAGGAACACTCGCCCCACGTCCCGACTGGACAGGGCGGCCACCAGCTGGAGCCACAGCGAGCTTTGAGGACAGCAGAGCAACTTGATAGGATTCTCTCTCTCTTCAAAGGCATAACACCAATTAATCCTCAAAAGACACTTTCAAGGAGAACATTATCCCTTTTGGAGAAGCGGAAGCTAAGAAGGCCACAGGTAGTTGAAGGGAGGACAGGAGAGCAGAAAGCAGAACTCGGGCCCCAGACCTGGCTCTCCAGAGAGAGTCGAGTTGCTGGAGAAGAAAGAACCTACAGAAGCCGGGCAAGGAGGAGGTGGCAGAGGAGCCGCTGATCTCAAGAGTGCCCCTCAAAACTCCCTACTGATCCATCCCACAGGAAGCTGCAACGTAAAACAAGGTCAGAGACCTGAGCAAAGCCCTGTGTGCACCCAGCCAGGAACCAGAGAAAGAGTTAAAGGGACTGGACTTGCCTGTGAAAACCTGTCACTAGCATAATGACCACTAAGTCTTCAGGAGGGGGAAAAATCTGCGATCCAGATCCAACTTACCACACTGAATCTGTTTTTGCTCCCCCACACCCCTTTTCCTGAAATGGGGAGTGGGCAGGGTTGTTGTGTGTAAACAGAGGCGATGTCCTGGCTGGCTGGTCTTTCCAGCTTTAGAGAACCAATCCAGAACTTCCTCCAGTTCATACTCTGGACCCACAGCCTGTCACCGTGACTAGCAATAAACGTCACACACATGTTGCACATTTATTCGACCTTTAATATTTTGCTCTGGGATTCCTGGAAAAATTGTATGTCACTGGTCAAACGTGATAAAAACAGCCCATGGCCTCTTCTTCATGCTCATGAGCAGGGTGACTGCCTAACATGCTAATTTCTATGCTGTTTTTAGCCTGCTCTGTGTTTAAAACTTAGAATACCTTTCTTTGCCACACATGACACACTGTTTGCATCACTAAACAGAGGCCATGCCATGTGCAGTACATAGGCTCATTGGAGATATCTAAGTGTTTGTAGAAAGGAGAAAATTGATAGAATAAACTCTTTAGGAAATGGGATTTCTATCAATTTACTACTCATCAAAGAAATAAGGAAAATTGCCCTACAACTGATTCTTTTGTCCATTGAGGCATTTTATTTTTAAATATGTGTTAGATTCCCTAGAAAAAGAATCTCAGGACTTTCCCTCCCATGTGTTTTCTTCTTGCTTCTTCGTGGTCCATGATGCCAGCTGAAGTTGTCAGTACAGTGAAACCAAACTGGCAGGATGGGAGCAGATTATTCTGCCATTTGTCTAGATCTTTTAGTTGTACATCAAATCTGTGTAGATCACT